GTTCAGGAGGGCCTGTTGTGATAGGACAAGGGGTAATGGTTTTAAAATAGAGGGAGGTAGATTCAGGTTGGATATTAGGAAAAAATTTTTTACCATGAAAGTTGTAGAACACTGGAACAGGTTGCCCAGAGAGGTGGTGGATGCTCCATCCCTGGAGACGTTCAAGGCCAGGTTGGATGAGGCCCTGAGCAACCTGATCTAGTTGGAGATATCCCTGTTCCTTGCAGGGGGGTTGGACTAGATGACCTTTGAAGGTCCCTTCCAGCCCTAACCATTCTATGATTCTATGATTCTAAATGGATGTGTTCCTGCAGGAGACTTCATGTAACTAACACCAAAAGAGTAGTCCCTCCCTGCACCTTTCTGGAGTGCCCTGGGAATGGTGACAAGGTAAACAAAATAAGCAGACCCTTCCTTGTTATTGAATGTTTAAGGAAAGGGCACCCACTGTGTTGTCTGGTTTGTTTTTTCTTTTGTGGATCTGCTAAGTAGGGATGGCACAAAGTCCCTGACAGAGCAGGGGTGAGTGCCTTTACAAAGGAGGTAAGGCAGGAATCCCAACAACTTGGAACAGAGCTTCCTAGCAGAGGTTCTATAAAAAGGAAGAATATAAAAGGTGGTATTTGTCTCTTTCCTGTACTTAAACTGCTTTCACCATTAAATACTAATTTTAACAGCACTAGAGGTGAGGAACTATTATCTCCGTTGTAGAGACCTGACAGAGAGACAGATTAAAACCCCAGCACCTACAGGGTTGTATTTTTAAGAACCTGAATTCTTGAGGCAGATTCAGAATCCGAAGTGAAAGGCTAAATCCCATCATACAGTGTGTGAGGAAAGTGAGATGTTTCTGAAGAGGACACAGCACAGCATCCTGATTGAGACGCTGCCTCAAATCAGTGCAGAGCAGACGACTCATTATGTGGTCAGAAGTAATCACTGTGATAAAGAAGGGATGAATCTTAAATCCTGACAAGGTTTAGACAAGCCAGAAGAAAAAGAACAAAATCTAAGAGATTTTTCTAACAAACAGAAAAGCTAAATACGTCTGAGTAAGGAACTCGAAGCTCTTTTTCCTCTCTGACCTCCTAGTACGTTTTTATGCCTTGGTGACTACAATACACAAAATCATTTGATGATCCGAGGGCTGGAGCACCTCTGCTATGGAGACAGGCTGAGAGAGTTGGGGCTGTTCAGCCTGGAGAAGAGAAGGCTCCGGGGGGATCTTATTGCAGCCTTCCAGTACCTAAAGGGGCTACAGGAAAGCTGGAGAGGGGCTTTTTACAAGGGTGTGTAGTGACAGGACAAGGGGCAATGGCTTTAAACTGAAAGAGGGCAGATTTAGATTGGATATAAGGAAGAAATTTTTCCCTCTGAGGGTGGTGAGGCACTGGAACAGGTTGCCCAGAGAAGCTGTAGATGCCCCATCCCTGGAAGTGTTGAAGGCCAGGTTGGATGAGGCTTTGGGCAACCTGGTGTAGTGGAGGGTGTCCCTGCCCATGGCAGGGGGGTTGGAACTGGATGATCTTTGAGGTCCCTTCCAACCCAAACCATTCCATGATTCTATGATTTCAGTGCCTGCTGGCTAAGCACTTCAAATGACAGGACCTGACACAAATCCTTTCACAGTGCACGCCTCCTGCCATCGTTCACGCTGCGTGACGCAGGCTGGCTGCCCCTTGCTGCAACTATCTTACATTTTCCGCTTTGACGCCGGTCCTGTGCAGAGGGACTGGTCTCTTTGCGGCTGGAACTTTGGGTGGTGGGCGGTGGGGCACGAGCACCGGTCCTGCCTGCGCCCCTTGAAACGACGCTGACTTTGTGATGCTGGGAGGAGGCTCAGGTTTGGTGAACACTTGGTGTCTAGCTGGAGCAGGCTTTGCTGCGTCTTCCTGTAGTCCTGAAAAGCAAAAACAATTAGCATCTTGGCTTGATCAGAATCATCTTGATTCAAGATAATTCCTTTCACAATCAAGTTTCCCAAAACGTGCATGCCTAAAGGGAATATGCTTAGGCCAGGAAGGTTTTCGAAATAAAACCCAGACCTTTGCAATCCTGTCACCTTTATAAGAGGCAGTAGGGAAGAAGTCCCCTGTCTGAACCAGTTTCATGCCCAAGTAGCATTGCTGTGCCACCGTTTGGCCACGTGGACAAAACACTGGCTGCGGGTACAGGAGTACTGGACTCAAGTCCTGGGTCTCCTTTGCCCTGGTTTCCTTATCAGGAAAAATCAAGATAATGATACCAAGAGCATCTTGTAGAGTACTTTGGGGACTGGAAGTGGCATTGACTGGGCCAGTTTCCTTACCCACACGGAGTGAAATGCTTCATGTGAATTTCAAAATTAAATCTGATTTCAAAACTACATGTACAGCACTCTCTGAGGAACAAACATCAGGATGCCTTTTTGATATTTCTGACTCAATTGGATTATTCCAGACTGCATTCGCTCGATTTGCAAATGAAAAGGGATGTTTTTCTCCTGAACTGAGCGCCTTGCAAACTCAGGTAGCTGTCTCAGAGTCATGCTGCATTCTTTCTCATTCAAACAGTATCAGCAGAAACACTTCTTGCAACCTGGAGGGTGTATTCTCACTGCCCAAATTTTAATACCTAAGCTCGTTTCCTGCTCTAACTTGTCCTTGCAAGCAGCTCTCTCCTCCAGGGATTAGATGGAGAACCTAAACACAGAGCAGCCTTTGAGCTTTGCTATTCAAGCTGAAGTAGTGCAAGCTTCCAGCTAGGTTACAGCCATACTTCCTGTCCAAATGGGAGCAGAATCCAAGTCATTTCTCCCACAGCTGTATGTGCTCTCTAGTTCCACTCGGAATAGTGAGCATTCATTAAATGCAGCAGCAAACATCCTTTATGCAGCTCTGAGCTAAGACAGGCACCATCAGTTTAAGATCCCATCTTCAGCTTTTCATTTTTCAGACTAAATCTGGACATAAATAACCCAAGGTGCTCCGAGGAACAGGTTCTACAACAAAATACACAACCTGAGTCATCTTGGGAAAAAAAAGGTTAACGTTATCAAAACTGACAGAGATCAGCGAGTGCCATCTTGCAAGAATGTCATGTTCAGGTGAGCTTCTGAACACAAATACGTGCACCTGGGCTACGACAAGAAGGACAAACATGCCCACAGCTTTCTTTAAATCAAAGAGTTTGACAAGTCAGAAAGCTGTGCTCACCTCCTTTAGCTTCCATAAGGCATCTAATAGCTTCTTCTGCCTCCTCAGCTGTGGTGGTTTTGATCTGCTTGACGTTGTAAGGTTTGCTTATTCCGGTCCGGACTTTAGGCTTTAAAAAAAAATATGGGAATAAGTGATTTAGATAAAACTTTGTTCTTGTACATCTGTACACTTGCAGCTGAGCGCAAACACCTGGGAAGCTCTGGGGTTGCCAGTGGCTCTACGGGAATAGAGAAACACTACGGAAACAGCGGGCAGGCTTTTGGCAGGCATTGCATCTTTGATACCAGCTGACAGGCAGGCCGGTGGCTCACTGCCACAGCTAGCCCCTTGGCCAGCCCTCCTTCAATACATTAGGGTTCTCATCCAACAGCAGAGGAACTGGGAGGTGTTGCCACATTCTGGTCTCGGTCTGCTCAGAGGGCTAGCAGCCTTGCTGGCAACGGTCAAGACTTTTCCTGTACGCTGGGCACTAGCATGGCCCATCAAAACAGAGGTGAGGAAAGAATTAAAGCACGTTATTATGGTGCTGAAAGTTCAAGTTAGCATCTGCCAGAAAGCAGCATGTGCAATAAACTAACAGTGCCCTGGTCTTGCACCATTCTTGCTCCTCCTCTTTGGCCTTTCTCATTCCTGGCAATTTAATAACATTTTTCTGGTGTCTACCAGGTCCTACAGTCTAGTATCACAGGAAAAGAAGTTCATCTCAGCATTTCCAGCTCGGGCACGTGAGGGACCTCCTTCCTTGTGTGACAGGTGCATCACGTACGTGATGCTCAGTGTCTACAGTGCCTACGTAGATGGGGGAGACGAGGACAATGCAGAGTGGCCACGCTGCGTGGCAGGACTCACTGGCTGGCGAGGGGCGTTGCAGTTGCCAGGATGGAGGAGGCAGAGTGGCTTCCTGGAGAGAGGGAACCATCTGAGGGGGACTTTTTGGCTGACGTTCCAGCTGAAAGAGGAAAAAAAAGAAAAAGGCTTTTTACATTCAAGAGCTGGTACAACATTTTAACTGCAATGGAGCAAAACTAGTGTGCTTTGAAATCGTTTGTGATAAATAAAAAAGACTGTCACCCTCCTTGCTCCTCCAGGGTCAGACATATTAGGCAAGACCTTCCTGTAGGACAATGGAGACCTTGAGTCCCTCTGCCTGAGTGCCAAGAGCAAGACACTTCAATCTAAGAGGAGTGATGGGCTGAACTGTTACTGGTCTAATCCAAGGTGGAAAAAATCTCAACAAAGAATAAAATCCTGAAATCTTGAACTCTATAAGGAAGCAGTTTCCTAGTCTTGCTTTCATTTAATTAATTAAATAACCTCAGCTGAGCATTAACATTGCATTCCAGGCACAGAACTGCTGATACCAATGTTGTCACTTCTGCACAACACTCGGAAATGAATGGGAATAACCCTAAAGAACTCATCTTCCAGCAGCGAGTCTGACAAAATCTGTAAGGCTGGGAAACATGCACAGAAGAGAAGGCTGCAAGAAAAAACATGATGCATAGCTTGTGTCACACAAAAGGCAAAGATGCTCCTGCTGATCTAGCAGTCAGTATTTCTCCAGAAGCAGCCATAAAACCAGAAGCAGCATAGCACCGATGGTGGCTCAGGCGAGTAGAGCTTGGGTAAAGGTAAAGAGCATCACTTCCCCTTGGTGCCTCACTGAAAATCCTAAGCCACTCTGCAGTTCTTTCATAAAGCAAGTACGAATTGCTTGCAAAGCAGCAAAAGGCAAAAACGGCCCAGAACAAGTATTTTGTCAAAGCTTTTTAAAAGGAAGGTTACAATTAAGTCAGGAAAAAACAAACTGTAAGAAAATACTCCGTGACTTTGGAAGTCATAGAATCATGGAATGGTTTGGGTTGGAAGGGACCTCAAAGATCATCCAGTTCCCACCCCCCTGCCATGGGCAGGGACGCCCTCCACTACACCAGCTTGCCCCAAGCCTCATCCAGCCGGGGCTTGAACACTGCCAGGGATGGGGCAGCCACAGCTTCTCTGGGCAACCTGTGCCAGTGCCTCACCACCCTCACAGTGAAAAATTTCTTCCTTAGATCCAATCTAAATCTGCCCTCTTTCAGTTTAAAGCCATTGCCCCTTGTCCTGTCACTACGTGTCCTTGTAAAAAGTCCCTCTCCAGCTTTCTTGTAGGCCCCCTTTAGGTACTGGAAGTCAGCAGGCATAAATACCAGAACTTATTTTTGTTGCCACAACGAGGCTGGTCAACTCGCTAACCTGAGTGATGAGTCAGGATGAAACACACGGGCCGTTCCTAAAGACCAACTTCTCCCGTTGCCAACTGCGAGCACCTCAACAGCCTGGCACGCCAGCACCAGCCATTCCTTTCTTCGTCACTCAGAAACGGCAGGCGGGACCGTTCAGCGGGGGCCAGCGAAACACGAAAGTAAGTTCAACTCACCGGGAGGAGGTGGCCTCTGCGGCGGCTGAAGCGGCCGAGACCTGGTGGGAATGGACAGAGACCTGCTTGGAGCCCGGCGGTGGCATTCCCCACTTGCCTCCGGCTCTTGCTTCCAATCGGCCAGGTCTGTATCATCTAGGGAAATTTTGGAAAGGATCTGTATTAGGTATCCGCTGGGTGAGCGTGCACCAAATCCAGTGGTGAGGAGGGGGGCGATTATGAAGGGCAAACCTCAACCAGGTATCTCAGCAACATGCCAGGGCTCCTTTCAGATTGTTTTTCTGTCCCCAAACGTCTCCCTGCTCCTGCTCCAGGAAACATCTACCCTTTTGTCAAACACTTCTCTCCCTCCCTCTCCTTTTCCAGCATTTATTAACTGTGCCAACTCGAAGACTGCCTGCATCTGATTTTGGGGTTACTACTCAGCCACCTTGTTAGACTCTGAGCTTTTCACCGCCAGGCTCGGTGGCATCCTGCTCTCACTCGAACTGTGTCATGGCAGCTAGTCACAGTCAGTCCCTTGCTCCTCCTTCCTGAACACAGGAATTCCCTCTGAGGACCAGACAACTTTCTGTGCTCAAGAGAACTGGTTTTATACCAGAGAAAAGTCTACCTGAAGGCTCAGTCATCACATCTGTTGCTTTCCAGCCATGTCTCCTAACAGGTACACCTGCCTCATTCGATAGCCCTGGGCTGCACCTCCCATGACTGTGTAATTACACAGCCCTTCATCCCATCTATGCCTCTCTGACGGCTGGAGAGGCAAGAAGGAGGGATTGCTTTCGTCTCCCAATTTGCTCAAGTGAGGGCTTTCACTTCAGTTGTCTCACACCACCACGGCTGCCCGGCCGTGTGGTTCTTGAGAGCTCCAAAATCCACTGAGCCTCTGTGATCTGGAGAGGATGGGGAAGGAATCGTGGCAGCAGCACTCCCTCATACTTCAGGCATTCCCACACAAGCTCCTGTTTTTCCAAAAGCTGTGCTCTGCAGGGAACACCGAGCTGCCTCATAGTTGACTACTCCCACTTGGCAGAGACACGGTCTGTGATCTGCCCAACCTGCCCTCCCCCTTCTTCCTGCATTTTCAATACCTCTGAGCTGCAAACACGGGCTCACCGGTAGGATCCGAGGAGTCACACAGGCTCCTAAAAGCACAGCTTGGAATCCTGGCTGTAACACTGAACACAAGACAAAAACCAGCCACCACCACTCTATCCCTTCCCTAAAAGGCTGCTGGTTTTAGGCAATAGCTTGCAGGGACACCAGTTTCGTGAGATGATGTCCTTCTCTGACCTCAGAAACACACGTACACACCGCTCTGCCCGAGACTGGTTTCCATCTGTGTCTAACACCAGCTCTACAATCATCCTATCTTCAATGAGGAGTTGCTCAGGCAGAATTGGAAGCTTACGGAGGCATCTGAAATTGCAGAGAGTTTCAAGATGGATTAAATATATTGTATTTTGAGTTGTGTGAGATCACGACCCCACCTTGACCTCCTTCAAGCTGTACTTTAAAATCTCCATTTACTCTGCGATATTTTTTGTGGAGGAGAATTAGTGTGGGTGAAAAGAATCACTGCAATTCTCCGTAGCTTAATGAATCATCATGCAGTAGGCCAGAGGTGTCTGGAGGGCAAGGCATCCCATAATATAAAGCGACTGGCTCCACAGTAGTTAATAATGACAGATTACTCCTGGGCTCAGGGCTGGGTTTCTGGGTCTGGCCACACTGCACCCAGCACATGACTCGAGGCGGCCAAGCAAGCTGTGTATCACTGATCCTTTGGAAAATCCGTCTGCGTAAACCCACGAATTTCACTTTATCTTTTTGAACTCTACTTCTGACTCAACCTTTCAAGGTATTAAAGTTTTCTCTTTTATGTTAGAAGACAAAGCACTTCTGAGAGAGTGCAGAAAGATCGCGGCTGAATCGTTTGCTGTCATCACAGAATGGTTTGGGTTGGAAGGGACCTCAAAGATCATCCAGTTCCAACCCC